ACAAGTTTTTTATTTTATTTACCATTATAATCAGTGAGCGATGCTGAGTTGCGGACTGCATGTTACAAATCGCACTTGTTCCATCTTGTGTTGTTCAGAATTGTTAATGTTCCTTTAATCAATTGGTTGGTTTTTTTTTTTAATGGTTTATACGCATCTTTGAGTTTTTCGTTATTTTCTTTTGGCTAAGCTCTAATCCGATCCAGCCCCATCTTAAATACTCTAAAATATAGTTTACTAGTGGTGTACCGGCGCTACTCGCCGGATTCATATATGTTATTATAAAAGAAGTTGCGATTTATTTTGTGGCCTTGGTGAAGAGATTATGTTCAGAAATTTGATGTTGTAACTATGTTGAAGACAATGATCTTTTCTGATTATTAGTGGAGTATTATAAGTGGTTGTTAATAATCGAAACAAATAAAAGTAGAGTAAAAATTTGATAGATTTTACAAAGTTAATTTAGTAAATACTTAAACATAAAGTAAAGTTCATGTTTGTAAATGAAAAATGTAAATAGTTGTGTTTGTTTTCTGATTATGTTGTTTCAAGGAAGATAATATATAGTTCCGTCCTCTTAAAATAGTAACAATCTTAGACTGATCGTTTATATCTTATACACAAAATAGTAACAATCCTAGACTGATCGTTTATATCTTAAACGCCACCATTCTCGTGACCGTTAAAATCAAATCATGTGAGCATATATAGATAATCATAGATACAAAAGGCGAACTTAAACGCTAATGCTTCATACATAGCTTCCATATGCTCAATTTCCTCTGCCATTGGTCCACCGTCAGGTGCGGTGTTTTCAGAGAACGTTCTTGTCCCGAACATAAGTTTCTTGATAGCATTGTCACAGTAGTGTATCAAAGAAATCTGATCGGATATCCAAAGTACTTGAACCTCTTAATCTTATTCCAGCAGCGATCGGATTTTGATAGTGTGTGTTCCTAGTCAAGGATATCAAAGAAATATTTTCCTTCTTTGAGGTTTCCTCTGCACAACATTACTAAACCCCAAAGATACATACCCTTATTGTATTTTCCATAAGCAGATTGGCACATGTGAGGTGATTGAGTGCTTTGATTGATTTGTGGTGGAAGAAGTACTGATTTATTCCCTCACTATTAAGATGAGCTTCAGCTGATAGGTGTCCGATATGGGGGGGGGGGGGGGGGGCTGGTGTGCGTGGTAGATATTTATCTTGTAGCCAAGGCTGCCGTGGTTCAGATACTGGAGGTACAAAGATTAAAGAGTAGGAATAAGTACATAAATTTTTTTACAAAGAGTAGGTTGTCAAAGTCATAAAGAATTAGTTTACGTCTCCTTTGGACCAAATTTTTTTTCTTTTTATGAGTTCTTTTGGTTACATATGATGATGATGCGGTGGAGTGTTCAGAAACACTAAGATTTTTGGGAGATCTCCTGTGGTTGCTTTGCCATTAAATTCAACTGGCGTCTTCACCATTATTTCTGAAAATCGTAATGGTTGAGTAATTAGGAATCAAGAGGTTGCATCAGAACTGTGTAGTGAAAGAATGTAGGAGATACATAACTACTGGCTTTTGCAATTACACTGCATTTACAGTGTGAGCTAATCATTCAGTTGGGAGGCGTGTAGGCACCCTGCAACGATAAACTTTAATTTGTAAGGTTATAGCTTCTTAAATCCATTTTTTTTTTGTTAATTTTTAGCAGTTTGTTATTTATAAACTTGTCTTCTAAGCATATATGATGTGTATAGGTTATATAAGCTCTGAAATGTGTCTAATTTTTATGAGATGTGCAAGTGTTCATAATTTTCTGTAATGGTAACTTCTTAATTTTATTATTTTGTGTTAATTAATTATTATCAGTTTGTTACTTATAAATTTCTCATCTAAATCCTTCTATATGTGGCAATCATTTTTTTGAACAGATTCTTATATATGTGGCAATCATAAACCAAAGTGATATAAGCTCCGACCTTTGTTTAAACAAAGTGATATAAGCTCTGCTCTTTGTTTATTTTTTAGAAGTTGTGCAAGTGTTCATTAGCTCTGTAGTTTGTGTAATCTTATATGAGTTATGAAAGTGTTCATAATTTTCTATGATGGTATCTTCATAATTCTATTAATTTGTGTTAATTATTATCATTTGTTACTTTAACTTGTGTACACTAATACATCGAAGATGTTGCAATATATGTAATACAAACTATGCACCTTGTTTAGTTATAAGTTGTGCAAGTGTTAATTATTTTATATGAAATATAAGGATGCATGAGAACAAACTTTACAAAAAAACTAAAAGAAAGAATTTTACAAAAAGATGACTATCGGTTTGATCTCTGAAACCTAAGGTAAGAAGACAACTTAACGGACTGAAAATGTGTGTAAATCTTAAAACAATTCTGCAAGTTGGGTAATACATAAATCATTCTATAACAGGCCATTATATTTTGAAGAGCCCAAATCCATTTTGTCAAAAACTCAAAATATCAGAATGTGACAAACCGAGATGAGAATTAATTTTGTCCGGTTTGATTTCAATTAGTAAAAGCTGACATGGCTTTTTTTGCCCCCCTCACAAATGCTGATGTGGATGCATGAGAAGGGAGAAAACTCAACTTTATTGTATAAGATGTTCTTAACTTGTATGTCATTTTCTTTTGGTTAAGAATGTAAATTTCATCAAGTCAATGATGATCATATTATACAAGGTCTTGAAGAACCTAAGCATCCCAAAAAGGGAAAGTACTAAATTTGACATACTTAAGCTCTTGTATATCATTTTATTTTCATCAATATCCCAAAAAAAAAAATTATTGATCCAAAACATTTTAAACAACAAAAAACCCTTAAAGAGGTAAAAGAACAAATTGACTGATGTACTTACCTTTTCTTGTCAACCAAATATTATTATTCTAATCAAGATTTGCTAATTTCCTACATTGTCGTGACCCCGAACATTTTAACACTCTTCCTCACTCGGTAATCTCTTTCACCTAGACCTAGGAGTTGTGCTTCACCTCGTATGAAGAAACAGAGACCTGCCCATTCTAATTTAGGATTCTCCCTAAAACTAACCAACGAGCCTGCTAAAGAGCCATTGCCTCCTAAGGTTCTCAACTGCTTCTGCAGAACCTTTTAAATTTTTAATAACTGCATTCTCTTTTGCTCGGTTTATACACTTATAAAGTACAAACACGACTGGCTGCAGTTTTATTTTCAGAATGGTCGCCCACCACCAAGCGAGATGAAAGAGCAATGTATGTTTAGTATCAACCATTTTTTCCATGGTCACATTGATGGACTTCAGATACAAGGTAACTCTAGTCAGCATAATAGTATTTAAATGTAACACTTACACTGCTTGCCTTGTTAACTTAACTCTAATACTCTTTTCCTACTCAGAGTTCAAACTATTCACCAGTCAAATCTGCAAGCTCCCATCTTTCTTCTCCACTTCACTTTTCAGGAAAATCGATTTCAGTAACACAGGCTTTGTTACCAGGTGTGTGTGTGTCATTTTATAGCCACTTGTTCATGAGTATTGTAGTCTTTTAAGTGTTTGACTATTCAGAGAAGCATTTATTGATTATTGGGTAAACGGCAACATGTTGACAATGGATACATCAACACAAGTCTTTAAGATACTAAAGCACCACAATCCGAATATTCTTTTATTCTTATGTTTTCATTTTCAAATTTCTGGCAGGATGATTTCAAACCACTACTTAAAGAACTGTTGGCAACACATCCTGGCCTAGAGTTCCTGCAAACCACACCTGAGTTCCAAGAAAGATATGGTCAATAGTTTCTTATTTTTTTATCATGTTTTATTTTCCCTCTTGCTGTTTTGCTTGAGTATCTTATTTAGTTGTAGAAATTATTCTTAGACATCTTCTTATGACAGCTGTGGTTTGCAGGAATTCTTAGAAATTTCGTCTGATACACTTTTCTTTAATTTGCCGAGCCAGCTGAAACTGTTACCTACATATATAATATTTTACTACATAAATCGATCTTGAAATGGTCAACTTACATTTAGGGAGTTTAAACGAGGAAACTTAATAGATGCAATGATTCATGCTGACCAAGAAGAAGACATCAACAAAGTGTTGAGGTACTGAAAAAAAAGTTCATATAAACTTATTGTAACTATTCTTATATACATAGTATTTGATATCAACAGTTTTCTATTAGGTACTTCTCATATGAGCATTTCCATGTCATACACTACAAGTTCTCCTGCTCTTACTTTAACGATTGTCGACAGGATATTCTCCCAGGTTTTGTCTTAAAGACTGCATCCCTTTCAAGACTTATGTCCTTATTTGATGAAAACCTCCCAATATCACATCATTATTGTTCCAAGTTATTAGCTCTCTTCACTGATAGTGCATTGGTTATTTCTCTTAATTCCCTATGTCACTATCTTTTATATCTTTCTCGATATTGGTTTTTCTATGGTCAAACCATTCTACTAGTATTTAAAGGAAAATATAGGATGGTCTCAGAAGTTGTTTGTTGATTTTGGAGGTGATTTATATCTCTGGTGCACTAGTGAAAAAATCATATTTGATATAATTTTCTTAGGATTAGGAAAACCGTTTCTAATAGATAATAGAAATCAGAAGAAGATACAATGTCAATGTAAAGAGAACCATCGGGAATATTTTATTTTCTTTCCGTATTATATATGCTTCTGAAACATTATCTTGCTGTCAATTGGTAAGATTAGAAGAAAAAATAAAAAATAGAATTACTTGTAAGAGCATCAAACCAGATAAGCACTAATCCTAGTCAAAGATTGAATACCGACTAAAATATATATTCAAAAGCTTTACGTAACCGTGCCAAAGGAGTATATATAAAATATTATATTTTACTTTGAATATGCAAACGCACACCGGCGACATATACGTCTCCGATTCTATAAATTGGACTCAAACTCGTAAAGACGAGCATATCAAATATATCACAAAATTGCAAAGATAAAAGGAGAAGAAAATGTCGTCTGAATGTCCTGGTAATGTTTCTTACTGTATATAATCTGTTTTTTTTTTTTGTCGCCATGTTGATGTTTCAGTCACAAAACTCAAAAGGTCTCATTTACCGAAACTATGTCCTGAGAGGCATGGTCTAGGGCATATAACATATTGTTTTAATTAACTTCATGAATATCTTGTAATGGACTTTTGATCTTCAAAATGTCAACTTTAAATTACCAATTGATCTATCTAACGTGGTTTCTTTGAGTGCGTGCAGGGAAGACCTCATGGCCGGAGCTTGTGGGATCAGATGGAAACGATGCGGCTTCGGTGATCGAAAGTCAGAACCCTGGAGTCAAAGCAGTCGTGATTTTGGATGGATCTCCGGTGACTGGAGACTTCCGTTGCGACCGGGTCTGGGTGAGGGTTGATAAAGAAGTTGATGGTATCGTCGTCCAAGTTCCTACCGTCGGTTAGACTTGTGTATGGACCATGCTGTTACTAATATGAATAAAATAAAACTACGTACAAAGAATGGTTGATTGTTGGTTGGTCATGATGTAATTTTCTCGTTTCCGTGGACAATTTCGGGTTTCGTTACCAGAACGGTTACTGATGTCCAAAGTTATAAATAAACGTTTGTATAACGTAAAGGTTGCAAATAAAATGCATGTCCTATTTATAGTAAGATAGCTAGGGATCAGCATTGATTTTATATCTAATATCATTTATTTGCTTCATATGCTATCATATATATATATATATATATATATATATATATATATATATATATAAATATTGATGTGCAGTGTTTAAAACAGTTAATGAAGAACGAAATAGTGTCTGCGACCATTTTTTAAAAGGGAATCCCGTGGATAAATTAAAGCAGACCCTAAGAAATACAAATTTTAGAAAAAGGTCGATATGACTAACAAAATGATATAAGATTAATTTATTCATGCTACTGCAACCGTTAGCAGATGTAATAAAACCAATCCACCCTTTAGAAAGAAATAGATAGGAAAGCTATTTCCCATCCAGTATGATAATAATCACTGATTAGTACTTGTATCCGGTAACGGATTTTTCAAAATCGAAGTCACTAATAAAGATCAACTATGAGCATTTCTGGGAGTGAGCATGCCATTGACAGGAGTTTCTTGCAATCACAAGTTAACTAAACGTCTGTGTCAAAGTCCAAAAATACAACTGAATTCAAACGTATAAAGGTCAGAGGGATGATCCCCTTTCTCTAGGTGGACGAATTTTTATTTTTATCTTTAAACTACGTGTGGATATCTTATACAATAAAGTAGGCTTCTCTCCCTTCTCATGCATCCACATCAGCATTTGTGAGGGGGGTAAAAAAAGCCATGTCAGCAATAACCTAAACCAAATAGACCAAACAAAATTTATCTCTCCCGTTTCGGTTTCAATTGGTTTTCTGTTTGTCGGTTTTGTGGTTGTTGTTGGGCTAGCTATTTTGTGTGGTAGAGGCCCAGATTTTTTTTAAGTTTTTGTTGGTAAAACGGAAACACAGCAAATAATGGCATAAATCATCTATAATACCAAAATTAAAGCAATTTGAAGTTTTTTTGCGTTCAATGCCACGTTACAGACACATCTATTAACATATTTCAGATAATGATAATAAATACCTAAAACAGTAAATCAAACCCTCAAAATAATTTTAAAATTATTCCACAAATATATAGCATTTGCAACAAATACAAACTTATCTAATGTCAAACAAACCAAAAAAGGTTTATTCGATACCCACATATAAATTACCTTTCAAATTATATTATAAGTATTAAAACCAAGCAAAATCATAAGGAACTCCGGTCGGTTAATTTTTAATAACCATAAATTACACATCAAACCACTCAGCATACATGCAACGGTACAACATAAATAATAACAATCAAACCTCAAAGAAATTCAACGCAAAATTATGGCTTCCAATAATTATATTTAAAAACGTAAACGACGTTACAATCAACACCGTGTCCAACGTCCTATATAAACAAGTGCAGAACACAAATAAACTAATAAGGACAGCGTTAGAATAAAATAAAACCCGATCATTTTCCGATGAGTTTCATGAATCGAAAACAACATAATACCCTCACCCTTGAATTCATGCCCGAAGACATGCATCTCCTAATTGTTTCCAAAGTAGGCTATGATCCCCCCCCTCTCCACCGACTACTTCAACACAATTATGACATCCAAAACCCTCAGTTTCAGTTCTGAGAACTTCTTTGTTGCAAAGGATCTCAACCTCTCACCTTTGGTGAAGAAGCTTGCTCTAGCTGTAACAAAAGTTGGTGCAAAACTGCCTCAACGCGAACAATGTTAACGCTCACTATGTTAAAAGCATGCTAGAATTCTCCGAAGCTCGAAATCAGTCCCTAGGTCTACATCACATCCACATTGCCTCAAATGGTGGTCACCTCCGAGGAAGGTACGTTTACGGCGTCCTCCTTATGGCCATCGGCGAAATTGACTTAGGGATTAAAAACATTAACAAACTCACTGATGAGCAAGGTATTCCAGTACTAGAAGATTGTATGGCGATTTTTCATCAATCTCTTGAGCACCTCCAATTTCACATGAAGGATATATGTCTTACCTCACTAAAGAAGATGTGGCCACCCCAGAACTGCCATCATCAACAGAGGACGAAGATCACGGTTTGCTCCAACTGTTTCCACTTCTTTTTGGTAACAGAGTTCTACAAAAGGATAATGGGCTTCATTGATCACCTTAACTAAAAGAAGGCCTATACGGGAAACGTGCTTACCATTAACATGATGACGTGCTCCTTCCACTTTTGATTTATTTGTTTTGTTTCTCAGTGTAAGTTGAACATTTATGTTCCTCTTCAATTTCTTCCAAAGGTTCTGTTTAATTTTGCTTTTAGAATAAATTGTTAGAATTTGTTTTCAAATAAATTTTTATGAAAAATATTCTCATAGCTATTATCTCTGATCTTGAAAAAAATAAAATTTGTCAAGCAAAAAAATAACATCTATGACTCAAGAATTTTAAAATAATTTCCAAATGTCCACCATTTAACCATAATGCCATCACATTGATATCATAATAGACCATTCTCATAAACAAAACACAATAAAAATACTACATTACAAACCAAGAAATAATTTAAAATTTTTAAATAATACAAATATTCGATAATCCGCGCGCAGCGCGGACGGACCACTAGTTAATTAAAAATTTAAGATTTTCAAATCTTGACAATGTTAAAGGATGTATTAAAAGCTTTTGCCAAACAAATTGTCAAATCTTGACAATGTCAAAGGATATATAAAAAGCTTTTGTCAAACAAATCATATTAAAAGCTAAAGTCATATATATATATATATATTAGTTAAGAACATCTCCAACAATTAACTTTATTATTTGGGTGGATGATCTCTAAAAAGACAGTTTGAAAATGGATTACTTTAACAATGAACTCCTTTGATTTATTACTTTTTAATTTAGATTTTTAAGAATAATAATTAATTATTAGCACTAAATTTATATAAGTAAATAATAAATACACTTTAACAATGGAAAAACACAAAGAAAAGCAAGTGGGCCACTAAGCCACCGGGTCAAACCCTGCAAGCCATTGAGCGGAAAAGTGACTATTTCTATCCAAACAATTTCAATCATGTCAAATATAAGTTATAATTTAAAAAACTACTTAAAACTACATTAGATGTAACAAAAGTTAATTAACCGTTAAAATAATTTTATTATTTTTTAAAAAATATGCACATACCAAGACTCAAATCTGTGTCATGTTACTCTTTAAAATTGACATATCAACCACTAAACTAAAATAACTTTTTAAATAATACTACAAATTTGAAATTATATATACTATTATATTTTCTTTCTTTTCTCTAATTCAAACTTTGATTGTTCTATTTTTGATTCTTATAAATATATTTATAAGAATCAAAAATGTTATTATAGTTCAATTATAACACTGAGATCTCTACCATTAAAATGTTATTATAGTTCAGTTATAAGTTATAAGGCCATGTTTATTGCAGTTTTTTAAGTACGGTTCTTTAGTTTTTAACCAAAAAAAACCAAGAGATGTCCTTTATAAGATACTAGGGCCGGCCCGGGCTACGCCCGGATTTTTCGTTGAAATTTTAATTATATATTTAGTATGTTATTTTGATATATAAATATTATAATCTATTATAAAATATAAGTAGTTAGACAATTATATAATTATTTATTGTTTTTTGTCTTTCGAATTTTAAAAATTTTAATATCCAAATTTTGTATGTCATAAATTATCAGTATGTTTTCTGCGTAGAATTGTTGTGTATTGTGGCACGTCTCGGCTTTTATTTTTCCGGGTGTTATTATTTATTTTCAATTTTTTTTTGTAAAATATTGTTTGGTTATTTATTACTCATTTTTTTCTTATCTCAATCTTTTTTTGATAATTATTCTAAATTTGATCTTATTTATCTAAAATGGAAAGAAAATTTAGTGTGTAAATCTTTTTTTCCTTAGGTTTGATGAAACGTAAAGGAAAATAATATGATAATAGATTTTTCTTCTTTCCAAACTTATAGACTTCTTTATTTATTTTGAATATTTTGTAAGTTTTACTTAAATATTAAATCTTTATTAAACTTTTTATTAAATACATGAATTTTTTTTATCATTAAACTAAAGTTATATTACATTGCATATTTAAATTTTTGTTAGTCTATTTTTCTATCGTATTAGTTCTTGGTTTTTAGATTATTTTCATTATGTATTAATTTTTAATTACTTTAATATCATTTTGTATTCTAGGTTAACTTTGAATTTAATAGTAAAAAGGGAATCAAATATCTCTGAGATTAAGTATTTTTATTTTCGTTTGTATAAATCTAAATGAAATGTATAAAGATTAATAGTGTAAATTGACTTAAACTGATTATTTTTTTATTATAATTATAATAATTTTATTTATTATATACATTTTTTTAGTTATATTATATATTTTCACTAAATGATTATTTTTTTAACAAAAAGATTAATGTCAATTTTTTAGTTTCATTAAAAATAAAATATTAATTATAATGAATTCGAAATTATTAAATTGTTTGAAAGTTTCAGTGGCTGTATTTAGGGTTCACTTCATGTTTGTTTGAGATCAGTGTGATATAGCTGTGTATTTTTGCAAGTTCTATTCTTGAGCCTATGGTATTATATGCTAATTTTTCTCCAACTTATTCTTAAAATCTATCAGTCAAGTGGAAAAATATTTACTCCTATTTACTTTTTTTTTATTACTGTTTCTAAAGAGATAAACATACACTCATCGTTGTGCTAGATATAGTAAGCGTAAAACTATTTTCTCATTTTCTTTCTCTTTTTCATATTATTTTTTCTGATTCTATTTGATCGGAAAAAACTGTGAGATCTTAGCGGCGACTAAAATTGTGTTATGA